CAGTGAGAGAAGGAAAAAATCTGTACCCATCTTTAAGCTGCCACTGACATTCTCATGACAGGTCAGAGTATACTAATTACCTTTATACTTTGTAGTTTTACTTTGTAGTATTCTTTGTAGTATGCTTTTATAATAAACTTTGTAGTTATAAATTTTTTTTTTAAGACAGGGTCTCCCTATGTAGCCCAGGCTGGCCTCAAACTCACGGTGATCCTCCTGCTTTCACCTCCCAAGTGCTGGTGTTTCAGGCATTCGTCACCATGCCTGACTGTAGTTATAAATTTGATAATCATTTTATCTAAAAAGTTTGCAGCCAACTTGGCAAGATTTGTAAAATGTATTTTGTTTTAGTTATGTATTTATTTTGTTGGGTTTTTTTTGAAGGAGGGTCTTGCTGTGTAGTTCAGGCTGGCCTTGAACTCATTATGGAGTCTAGGCCGGCCTCTGAACACTCAGAGAATATCCTGCATTCCCTCCTTAGTGTTGGGATTATAGGGTCGTGCCACCATGCCATGCCTGGCATATAGAGTTGTAAAATTTATTATTTTTGTTTTTTGGTACCAGGGATTGAACTCAGGACCTTGTGCTTGCGAGGCATGCAGCGGCACCACTGATCTAAATCCCCAGCTAGAGTTGTAAAATTTAAAACCTGAAAAAAATACGAAGGCAGTTTTTGTTTTGTTTACTTTCTTTCTGTGGGTGTTTGTTTTGGGATAGGAGTCTTGCCAGTTCCCTAGGCTGACCAACTCCTGTGCTCAAGCATTCAGGGCCTTGTATATAGTAGGCAAGCACTGTACAACCACACTATGTCCCCAGCCTAATGTGGTTTGATACTTGTATACATTGTGTAAAGTTTATGAAACAATTGTTTTTTGGTTTTTTTTTTTTGGTACTGGGGAAAGAACTCAGGACCTTGCCCTTGCAAGGCAGGTGTGGTGCCACTGAGCTAAATACCTGGTCCTGTAAGAATTCTTTTTAGTGTGCTGGTTTAGGGAGAATTATGATCTTAAAAGTTTTGCTCCTCTACCCAAGATCTAAGCTGGGCATAATGGCGCACTCCTGTGATCCCAGCACTCAGGTGGCTGAGGCTGGAGGATCACTGTCAGTTGGAGGCCACCCTGGGCTATATAGTGAATTCAAGGCCAGCCTGAACCATGTAGCAAGACCCTATGTCAAAAAACTAGGGAGAAGGGCCAGAGATATAGCTCAGTGGCGCTGTGCCTGCCTCGCAAGCACAAGGTCCTAAGTTTGATCCCTGGTATTGGAAAAACAAAAACAAAAAACAACAGCAACATCAAAAAATAGGGTGAGGGCCCGGGATTTAGCTTAGTGGTTTCGCTGCCTGCTGTGCAAGTGCAAGGACCCGAGTTCGATACTGGGTACCAAAAATAAACCTAGGGTGAAAAAAGGATCACATGTAAACAGTGATCAAAAAATATGGTGAATATTTTATTTATTTTTGGATTTTGTTTTATTTTTTGTTTGTTTTGGTTTTTTTGGTACCGGGGATGAACTCGGGTCTTTGCGTTGTGCAGCAGGCAGTGAAACCACTGAGCTAAATTCCTGGCCCAAAGAACCTATCTCTTTTTTTTTTGGTACCAGGGATCGAACTCGGTTCCATATGCTTGCAAGCCAGGCGGCAGAACCACTGAGCTGAAATCCCCGGCCGTTTTATTTTATTTTATTTTTTTGGTACTTGGCACCGAACTCGGGTCCTTGCGCTTGTAAGGCAGGTGGCGGAACTGCTGAGCTAATTCTCCAGCCCTTGTTTGTTTGTTTAATTTAATTAATTAGTTTATTTTAAATGATTTCACATTGTAGCACAGGCTGGCCTTGAACTCACTATGTATCCCAGACTGGCCTCAAATTCTCACTCTTCCTGCCTTAGCCTCCCAAATGCTGGGAATTACAGGAAGGTGCCACCATGCCTAACTGAATTCTTTTTATTTAAATGGTTATTATTAATTTTATATACAGTTAATTTCCTCTTGTTTGTATTCCATATATATTTTTTTCTTTTGAGACAATGTCTAGATCAGTGATGGTGAGCCTTTAGAGACCAAGTGCCCATCCTGCAACCCAAATCCCACTTATTTATCTCGAAGTGCCAGCGCTGCCCCTGGGTGCACTGTTATCCAATACTCAACCTCTGGGGCGATGATGGGTGACTTGGCTCACATGCTGACAGAGAGGGGTCCTGTGCCCACTAGGGTACGCATGCCAGAGGTTTGCTACCACTGGTCTAGATAAGCATTTTAGGCTGGCCTTGAGCTCACTACTATGTACCCCAAGCTGGCCTCTAACTCATAGGTATCCTCCTGCCTCAGCCTCTTGACCTGGGATTAAAGAGGTGCGCCATGCCCAGGAATAGATTTTCTGGGTTTTTCAAATTTATTTTGTGATTCTTTCTCATTTCAGCTGTCTGCTACAAATGTAGCATGTTGGAGTTGTGGTTTGTTTTTTTTGTTGTTGTTGTTTGTTTGTTTGTTTGTTTTGGTACCGGGGATCGAACTTGAGACCTTGCACTTGCAAGGCAGGCACCGGAGCCACTGAGCTAAATCCCTGGCCCTAAGATGTTTTTTTTTTAACTCAAGTTGAATCAGCAGTTCTATCTATATGTTTTGCTGATGAGAATTTTATTTTTGCTAGGAGGGTCAGTAAACATTGACCTGTTTGTATTTCCAGTGGTGTTATAACATTCCAAAGCGAATGATTCTTGTTTGCATGTGTGATAGAATCCCTGTGGGGCTTCTGAATCATCAAAAATGAAATCTTTATGTGGCTTTATTACTTTTCAGTTCACTTTAATTATTTACAAACTGGAAAGGCTTGAAATATATTGTGATAGTTTAACAGAACACTTTAAATAGTAAATTGCTCTAGTAAGAGAGATACTTTGTTTTCTAGCTGCCCTCACATTTTGATTTTTGTTTTGTTTCATTTACTGTGATATGCTTTCCTTTACATTTATGTTGTTTGGTGTTATTAGTCCTCCTTGCTGTCTCTGGAACACAGTGCCTCACACCCATAACATAATTTAGGTCACAGTTTCAGGGGATTCAGTCCATGATCTGCTGGTTCCAAGGCAAAACAACACGGCAGGAGGGTGTAGCAGAGCAGAGCTGCTTAGTTCATGGCAGCCAGGGAGCAGAACAGGGGAACAGTGCCAGAGATGGAAGGGTCAGGGACCATGTATAATACCCAAAGTCACACCTCCTGACCCACCCAGTCATACCAAGAAGTGCGCTTTTTGTACTCTCCAGACAACTCTTAAGCCAATCAAATTGACACAGTGAAGCTTAATCACCATATTTGAGGTTCTCAGAATTAATTTTTTTGGGGGGGTTACTGGGGATTGAATTTGGGTCCTTGTGCTTGCAAGGCAGGTGGTAGAACCACTGAGCTAAATCCCCAGCCCTCTCAATTTATTTAATGTATAGTTTATCTCTCATTATTTTTTAAAAACATTCAACCATTATCACTTCAAATATTTATTTCTCATGTTTTTCTCTTTTCTCCCATCTGCTTGGCAGTGTTCAGTGTAAGACCGGGGGCCTTACCAAACCCTCCGAGGAGCTGACCGTAGTGAAGAACACCCGGGAGGGAACACACCGGACAAGTTGGAAAAGTAAAACAGACCTTTATTAGTCTGGCCAGACAGTACCCTCCAAGCAAACAAGCTTAGAGAGGCCCTGAGCTCAGGGGGTTGGAAGGTTTTATAGGGGCTGCAGGGGAGCTTAGCAAGCAGAACTACAGAAGTGGAATTTTTGCGGTTAGGGGACGGTGAGGGGAGTTTGCAGATGTTTTTTACTTATCCAACAGGACGTTCTTTACACAGAAACAATGGTACATTCCATGGTGTCTTAACAGATAAACAAGTACATTCCAGGAACTCTGTGTCCTTTAGTGAACCTGAAACCCACAGGGACAAGATGGAGGGTTTGTAACAAGATGGCACTACTTGTGTCAAGTCTCATCTGGGTCTTACATTCCCCACTGATTTATCTAGGCAAGTAATTTTATGCGCTGTTTTTTTTTTTTTAGTGGCACTGGGTAGTATCTAGCCTGTTGGTTTAAAACCATTAGGCGAACAGATCCCACCTGGGCTCTTACATAGGCCATAAGTTTATTAATAATGTATGGGCTGAAAGTCAAAGCTAGTAGCAAGATCAACAGGGGTCCAGCAAGGGCAGAAACAAGGGTAGTCAACCAGGGAGACCAGTTAAACAAGGACTGATACCACCCAGAATTTTCTTTTAATCTGTCATACTTTTTTTGTAAATGTTTGTTTACTGTAGCCAGGGTGTCTCGAATAACTCCCAATTTATTGGCATAATAACAGCACTATTTTCCTAAGGCTGCACACAGCCTGCCTTTTTTTATGAACAGGAGATCGAGACCTTGGCAGTTTTGGAGGACCATTTCTGCCAAGGAGTCCACTTGTTTTTCTAGATGGGATACTGATTTGGTGGTCAGGCCCAAGTCTATTTTTACTTGTTGGGTTAGGGCCTTAAAGTTGGTGTCCTGTACTGCCAATGTTGTTGCTCCTAGTGTTGCAGATCCTGCAGTCCCTCCTATAGCCAGTACTGGGATGAGCGCAGGATGACACTTTATTTTTATAGGGTGGACTTTTCTGGTCAAATATTTTCATCCCTGTTTTCCACCATATATAAATACCTGGGGCAAGATATGGACCAGCACACAAACCTTGGGCTCCCTTTGTAGGACAGCAACAGAGAGGCAAGGGATTATGCCTCCTGTGCATGTCCACCATGAGTTGTTTTTTGCCCTTAGGTACTTATCAGGTTCTGCAGAAGCTGCTTGGTAAAAGCAGGCACTATCTAAGTTAAGATGAGGTGACCTTAGGGTTTTTAATGCAGGACCCTCTTTCATGTATATCCCCTATTGACAATCTCGTCTGTTTTTAATCACACCCATCCTGGCTGGTTTCAGTGTAAGTTCCATTGATTGTTATTTCTATATAATATGGGGGCTCTGGGTTTAGACACATCCAACATTTATTAGTAACATTATTATTTGATCCATTTAACACCATAAACATAGCATCCAGCATTTTTAAGTATGGTTGGATTGGCAACTCGGGCAGTTACGGGCACCTTGTTGGGTAGGGTGTTACCCGGCAGGGTGAGTGCGTGTTTTTTTTCTCGGCGGCGAGGAAGTGGAATTTCCTTGGCACCTGTGGGGTTGGCCACTGTCTTTTTGGGGCTCAATATCTTATAAAGGTTTCCCACTGGTTGGGCCCGTGTCACTACTAGACTTCGCTGGATGATGATGTCTGTCATAGGGTCTTTTCCAGTGACATACAGCACTAGCGTCCATGTATTTCCCTCTTTCCAATCTTTGAAGGGGTTCTGTCATTGTTTTAGTCTAAATTCTACAGGCTCACAGTTTTCTGGGTTACATGTCGGGTTTGTAGACCAAGTTATAGCCAAAAAGGGATCATTGTTTACCCACGGGGCTATTGACTCACAGCCCCAGTAATAACAGTGATATCCTGGCCCCCCATCACAGTTGGGATCCTTTCCTATGAGGCATGTGTATAGGCCGATTGTTTGGAAATTTGGTCCTATAGTGTTCGGGCCCTTCCCACCAAAATAAACCTTGGGAAACCCTAGGGCCGACAGGTCTACCTGAAAAACGGGCTGTTGATCTGTTGTAACAGTGGCAATTAGGGCTCTGGTAAGTGAATTTTTAAGAGACCACATCCAGTTCTGGTGGGTATGGCTGGAGAGCACCAGCTGTTGAACATCTCTTTGTACCCGAGCCGACAGGACCAGGGTTTTTATAAGTCCCCACATTATCCATCTCAGTCCTTGATCAGTCTTATCTTTAAGGGGTCCTTTGCTTGTCGAACGACTCGCCATCCTGATGCTGGGGTTGGGGGTGGTGCCACCTTTAGATGATTGTGATGTATCTAGGCCGAATGTCCAGCTACCCTCATGGCTGAGGGAGTCACCAGGAGAATGGGAAACGGTCCCTTCCAACAGGGTTCCAGGGTTTTGGAGTCGAACCTGCAAATGAAAACCAAATCTCCCGGCTTATAGGGCAAGGGTTGTAGAGGTTTCTTGTTGGGGTCAGGCATGGTCTTTCTCAATCTGTCATGTAATTCTGACTGAAGCTGATGGACAGCCTTTAAAGACTTAAGGAGCTGGAGGTGGGAAAGCTTTTCCCCCAACTCCAAATCTATCATGGGGACGATCGGGGGAGATCACCCGTAAACGATCTGGAAGAGTGACAGATTAAAGGGCGGCTTAGGAGTGCACCTAGTGTGGAGAAGGGCAAAGGGGAGAAGCTCCACCCAATCTAATTTAGTCTCCAGGCATAATTTAGTTAGGACCTCTTTTAAAGTTTGATTTGCTCTCTCTACCTGTCCTGAACTCTGAGGCCTATAGGCACAATGTAAATTCCATTTTATCCCTAGAACTTTATCATTCAATTTAGATATTTTAGCCATGAAGGCTGGGCCAATGTCGGACCCCAGGGCTAGGGGCAAGCCAAAATGAGGAACTATTTCTGTCAAGAGCTTTTTGATGGTTACTTCAGCTGTCTCTCTCTTAGTGGGATATGCTTTTATCCATCTTGAAAAGGTATCCACAAAAACTAGTAAATATTTATACCCATACATGTCAGGCTTTATTTCAGTAAAGTCCAATTCCCAATGTTTTCCTGGAGTTAATCCTCTGTCGGACCCCGGGGGGTCCGGTCACCCGATTTGTATTTACCTTGAGGCAGGTGGGGCATTGTCTCACCATGTCCTGGGCCTTTTGGGCCAATCCCTCGCTGATGAAATGGGGTCGCAGGGCAGCCATCATCCTTTTCTCGCCGAGGTGGGTGGACTCATGTAGTTTGCGTAGCAGCGTGTCTGCTACAGTGGCTGGGAGCACCACCTTTCCATCATTAGTCGTCCACCACCCATGCTTACCTTGGGTCCAGCATTTCCTGTCCATTTTTGTTACTTCTTTATCTGTGTATTTAGGGTTTTTGGGGAGTACCGGTGTAGGAAGCAGAACGATTTGCTTCCCCACTGATCTTTGGGCAGCTTGTTTTGCTGCCTGATCAGCTGCATTATTACCAATCACCTCAGGGCTAGACCCCTTTTGATGTCCACGGCAGTGGATGATGGCAACTTTTCGGGGCAACCAGATGCCTTGTAGGAATGTCAATATCTCAGTCTTGTTTTTAATTTTCTTTCCTTCAGAGGTCAGCAGCCCTCGGTTCTGATAAATCTATCCGTGCACATGGGTGGTGGCAAAAGCATAATGGCTGTCAGTGAAAATATTTATCCTTTTGCCTTTTTCTAGTTCCAGAGCCTTAGTCAAAACAATCAGCTCAGCCCTCTGTGCTGATGTCCCTTGGGGTAGCCCCTGCTCCCATTCCACCTGTTGGTCCTGGTTGACCACTGCTGCCCCAGGATACCGCACTCCATCACGCACGAAACTGTACCCATCAGTGTAGAGCATTGCCTCTGCACAGGGGAGGGCCTGGTCTGTTAAGTCTGGATGCCCTCCCCTCAAGTTTTTAAGAGTCTCGAGGCAATCATGGATGGGCATCTGTTCGTCGGATTCCGGGAGTAGAGTAGCTGGGTTAAGGCTAACGGCATTGGCAAACTTAATGTGTGGCTGTTCTAACAAGAGTCCTTGATACTGTAACAGTCTGGCGTTAGACAGCCACTTGCTAGGTGAGCAATTTAACAAGGGCTCAATGGCATGGGGAGTGATCAAAGTCAAATCCTGTCCAAATGTCAGTTTGTCAGCCTCTCGGGTCAGAGCAGCTGCTGCTGCTACCATCCTCAGACAGATAGGCCACCCTCGGGCCACTGGGTCTAGCTTTTTCGAGAGGTATCCCACTGGCCGCTTCCACAGTCCCAAAAGCTGAGTAATCACTCCCTTGGCTACCCCATTTTTCTCCACTACATACAGAGTGAAGGGCTTGTTTAAGTCTAGCAGTGCCAGGGCAGGTGCTGATGTAAGCACAGTCTTAAGCAATTGAAATGCCTGCTGGCATGCCTCAGTCCATTTGAGGGGCGTATTTCCCCCCGTGGTGGCTTTGTGCAGGGGTTTGGCAATCTCAGCAAAGCCAGGGATCCAAATTCTGCAATACCCAACCGCCCCTAAGAATTCCCGCACCTGTTTCTTTGAGCTCGGCTCCGGAATCTGGAGAATTGCTGATGCCCTTGATTCTGCCAGCCTCCTCTTTCCCTTTTCAAGAATATAGCCCAAGTAGGTTACCTTGGTCTGGCAGAGCTGAGCTTTCTTCCAGGACACCCGATATCCCAGGTCTTGGAGGGCTTCCAGGAGGCCCTCGGTGGCCACAAGACATTCTTCATTGGTCGAAGTTGCCACCAGGAGGTCATCTACATACTGAAGAATAGTTGCTTGGGGAAAAACTCTCCTTACCTCTCATAGATCTTTGCTGAGAGCTTCTCCAAACAGAGTGGGGGAGTTCTTGAATCCCTGTGGCAACCGGGTCCATGTCAGTTGTCCGGTAGTCCCGGTGTCTGGGTCAGTCCATTTGAAGGCAAAGAGGGGCTGGCTCACTAGTGCTAGGGGCAGGCTGAAAAATGTATCTTTGAGGTCTAATACCTAGTACAATACATGAGCAGGAGGGATGAGACTCAATAGAGTATAGGGGTTTGGTACCGTTGGGTGGATGGTCTCCACCCGGCTGTTTACCTCCTACAAATCCTGTACCGGTCTGAAGTCTGAGGTGCCAGCCTTCCTCACAGGAAGCAGGGGTGTATTTCAGGCTGATTGGCAAGGGACCAAGATGCCGACTTCCTGGAGTCGGTGGATGTGCTTAGAGATCCCCACCTTGGCCTCCAGCCGGAGGGGGTATTGTTGCACATGGACGGGGGTAGCAGAGGCCAACAATTGGACCACCACCAGGGCATGGTGTTTGGCCAGCCCAGGTGGATTGGCTTCAGCCTATACCCTGGGAAACTTTTTCTGAAGGTAGTCCCATTTTTGTTTGGGGGGCTCTGCGCCCTCCTTTAGCAATCTAAATTTATCTTCTAGGGGAACCGTTACCATAATGCCAGAGGGTGGCTTGAGTTCAAAAGTCCCTCCTTCAGGCTCAAAGGAAATAACAGCCCCCAATTTTCATAGCAAATCTCTTCCCAGCAGTGGGTGTGGGCACTCAGGGATAACTAAGAAGGAATGGGTGACGGTGCCTTTTCCTAGATTTACAGTTTGTTTAGTGGTCCAAGGGTAGGAGGCCGACTTTCCTGTGGCTCCAGTAATGGAGGTTTTTAAGGAAGTGAGGGATCCAAGGGGAGTCTTTAGGACAGAATGGGCCGCACCAGTGTCCACAAGGAACTGGACATCTGTTCCCCCTATTTCCAAAGTCACCATAGGCTCACTAGGGTTAAGCGGCCATGAGCCTTGACCACGTCAATCTTTTTTATCTGCTAAGAGGATTCCACCTTTTTCCTTTTGGGCCTCCTTTTTTCTTTTTTTTTTTTTTTAGCTTTTCACAATCCCTTTTAAAATGGCCCTTTTCTTTGTAATAGGCACACTGATCTTTTTCTAATGAGGGTCAGATCTTTCCCTTGTTCCCTCCTTTGTTTTCAGGTCTTTCTTTTTGGACAAATCCTCCATCAGCCAAGGTGGCTATGGTCGCTTTTTCCAGTCTCTTGGCCATTTTCTCTTCCGGGGGATTCCTGTTGTTAAACGCCTTCATGGCTACACTCATCAACTTTTCTCTGTTCTCTCCCTCAAATCCTTCTAGCCTTTGCAGCTTCTTTTTAATGTCTGGGGCCGACTGGGTAGCAAATGCCAAATTTATTGCCTGCGGATTTGCAGGACCGTCTGGATCGATGGGAGTATACATACGGTATGCTTCCAACAGACACTCCAAAAAGGCAGAAGGGGATTGATTCCTCTGATCCTTGAAGGACCTCGCTTACCTTGCTCAAATTGGTAGGCTTCCAAGCAGCTCCCCTCAGGCCAGCCAGGAGATGCTGACGATAGTTCTGGACAGCCTCTCTCCTACCCAAGGAATTAACTTGCCAGCGGGGTCGGGTGGATGGGAGTTATGCCTCAATACAGGCCAGCTGCTGCTCATCTAGGGGGCCCTCTGTTCCATCTAGTACCGACCTTACAGCTTGTCCCCAGATTCTTTCCCTCTCCTCTGAGGTAAAAAGGGCCTGGAGGAGTTGTTGGCAATCATCCCAAGTAGGATCATGGGTATGAAAGATAGACTCCAGGAGAGAGATTAGAGCTTGGGGTTTCTCTGAAAAAGGAGGATTCTGGTGTTTCCAGTTGTATAAGTCACTGGTAGTGAAAGGGATATAAATATAGTAACATTGCTCAGTCTCCCGAAGGGGCAAGAGAGGAGCCTACTAACTAGTTTCCCCACGGGGACCTTGCTAGGTCCATACACAGCCCCAGCTTGCGTGTGTGGGGAAGAAGTCACTGAGTCCAGGGACTGGGGCCCCTCAGGGAGAGGAGGATAGAGAAGGGTAGGGGCCAAAGGTTGAACAGATGGAGGAAGGAAAGGATTTCAGGGTCTAGAGCATGATCTATCTGAGGAGGTGGAGGATTCCACATAGGGCGGAGGCCCTCCCAAGGGGTCTAGGGGGTCAGGTTCCTGCGAGAGTACCTGCTTGGGAGTCTGGGTCTTAAGTCCCCGGGGTCCTTCCGGGGCAGCGACTAAAATGCGAGTGTCTGTTCGAAGAGAGCAGTGCTGCAGCCAAGCTGGGGGTTCCTCACAAGCCTGAACCCAGATGTCTATGTAGGGAAATTGGTCTGGATGGCCAGGGCGACCGGTGACTTTGTCCCACAGCTTCCGGCAAATACTGGGGTCAGAAGTCCCTTCGGCTGGCCATCCCACCTCAAAAGCTGGCCATTCCAGTTTGGCACAGGGAGCAGAGTTTCCTGCAAGAAAATTTTGCTCCGTATTCATTTTCTTGTTCTGGAGAAAAAGCCAATTTAAAATTAGTAAGAAAACAGTCAAGCAGAGTGGACCTGGTGGAACAGGATCCTCCCATCACTCTGCTCCTGATGAGGATTAAAAGAATATAAAATCAGACACACAACAGACACAACACTAACACATAAAAGATGAGACAAACTGGCGCCACGACAAAATGAAACTAAATCTTCCCTTGTTCCTCATCAGGAGCCTCGGGGTCAGGGGAGGCTTCCCGGCTCATCGGCCACCTCACTCCTGACTTAACAAATGGTTGCAACCGGCTGAAAACTTACCTCCAGAGGTTTTCTGAGGTCTATGTCCGAGGGTCTCCTGCTGGATCCCGACACGGAGTATCGGCCGAACCATGGGTTCCCACGCGGGGATCTCGCTGGGGCCTCCAAAATGTAAGACTGAGGGCCTTACCAAACGCTCTGAGGAGCTGACTGTAGTGAAGAACACCTGGGAGGGAACACACCGGACAAGTTGGAAAAGTAAAACAGACCTTTATTAGTCTGGCCAGATGGCACCCTCCAAGCAAACAAGCTTAGAGAGGCCCTGAGCTCAGGGGGTTGGAAGGTTTTATAGGGGCTGCAGGGGAGCTTAGCAAGCAGAACTACAGAAGTGGAATTTTTGCAGTTAGGGGACGGTGAGGGGAGTTTGCAGATGTTTTTTACTTATCTAACAGGACGTTCTTTACACAGAAACAATGGTACATTCCATGGTGTCTTAACAGATAAACAAGTACATTCCAGGAACTCTGTGTCCTTTAGTGACCCTGAAACCCACAGGGACAAGATGGAGGGTTTGTAACAAGATGGCACTGCTTGTGTTAAAGTCTCATCTGGGTCTTACATTCAGTAGTTTGATAGTTTCATATTCTCTGTCCAAATTCCCATTGTCAGTGCACATTGTCCACATTTTCCATTATACCTTTCAGCATACTAGTCATAAATGGTTTTGGGGTTGTTTGTTTTTTCTTTTTTTGGTACTGGGAATTGAATTCTAGCCTTATGCATGCACTCACTCTACCACTGAGCTATTTTAAATCCCTTTCACATAGCTCTAGCTGATACGGAAAAGTTTTAGATAACTTAATAGATTGAATATTAAGGTAGTTGTAGAAGCAAAATAAGTAATGTGTTCTTTTAAGATTTGCTCTTCCTGTAACTCCTTGTTTAAGGTGAAGATTATCTGACTCTAACCAGTAACTTCATTAACCTAACAAAGTTACCATGCCAGGGTGAATTTACAATGTATATGGCCTATCTTGTGTCTGTGACTTGTAAATAGGAACTAGAATTGTATTTACATATCAAAGACCACTAGGGATGAGATAATGGCTAAAAAGGATATAAAAAAGGAAATGCTGAACAAAGGGGGTGCGGATATTGACCAGACTGGTTTCTGGCATTCCTGTCCGCTTGGAGAAGAAATTTTATTATTTTATCCGAATTCTGTGTCTCTGTGTATTTCTTTCTGAGATTTCCACAACATAACAGGTCACCTCTGGCTCTGGCTCTTGTTTACTTTTTTTTTTTTTTTTTTTGGTACCGGGGATTGAACAGGGATCGAACTTGGGTCCTTCTGCTTGCGAGGCAGGCGGTGGAACCACTGAGCTAAATCCCCAGCCCTGTTTACTTATTTCTTGACAATAGATTCCTCCCTTCGCTTTGCTTTTGATTGAATGTTGGACATTATGTATAAAATAATAGACTCTGGAATAAATTATATTTATGCCTAGAAATAAACATATCTCTTTTATTAGGCTATTTGAGGAACTGAATCAATTTTAATCTGGTTGAGTGGAGTTTACTATATTTGCTTAATCATTGTGTGTGTATATGTACCCATCAAACTATCCTTTTAAAAAAAGTATTTCAAAGTAGCAGTTATTTGTATACTTCATCCCTAACCACATCACAAATATCATTGTTTAAGAGTTCAATATTATATTACAGTTTCCTGGAAGGAAAAGTAAAACATATATAATGAAATGCTGATATCATAATTTTATTATTTTATGTGTTTTAACATACTCTTGTGAGCTCATATTCTTTTTAGTTCTTGAGAAGGTCTTGCTATTGGTTCAGGCTAGCCTTAAACTCATTATGTAGCCCATGCTGTGGCCTTGAACTTCTGGCGATCCTCATGCCTCAGCCTCCCAAGTGCTCGGATTACAGGCATGTACTACTTCACCCGGCTCCTCTTTTTTATTATTTATTTATTTTGGCACCGGGGATCAAACTCGGGACCTTGCACTTGCACTGCAGCTGGCAGCACCACTGAGCTAAATCCTTGGCCCAACCTCTTTTATTTTTAATTGGGCCATGTACATAGCACATCTTAATTCCTTTTTTTTTTTTTTTTGGTACCAGGGATTGAACTTGGGACCTTGCGCTTGCGAGGCAGGCGGTAGAACCACTGAGCTAAATCCCTGGCCCTTTATTCCTTTTTTAAAATCACTTGCCCTTCCTCCCCCCTCACTCCATTTCTTGGTCCCCTTCCTTTTTGCAAAAGGTCTGTCTCTGTGTTTTCTATTATTTTTTATTTTCTTTATAATCCATTTATATTTTGGGTTTCTAATATAAGAGAAATAGTGCAATATTTAAGCTTGTGTGTCTGATTTATTTCACTTAACATTACAGCCTTAAGGTGCATCCATTTTTGTACAGGTACCTCAAGTTTATTCTTCATTATAGCAGAGTGGTACTCCCTTGTATATAAATACCATGTTTTCTTTATCCATTCATCTGTTGATGGATAAGTAGGTCACTTTCAAGATTTAGTTACCAAGGCCGGGGATTTAGCTCAGTGGTTTCACCACCTGCTGCGCAAGTGCAAGGACCTGAGTTCAATCCCCGGTACCAAAAAAAAAAAACAAACCAAAAATATTTAGTTACCGAGGCCGGGGATTTAGCTCAGTGGTTTCACCACCTGCTGCGCAAGTGCAAGGACCTGAGTTCGATCCCCGGTACCAAAAAAAAAAAACAAACCAAAAATATTTAGTTACCATGGCTGGGGATTTAGCTCAGTGGCACTGTGCCTGCCTCACAAGTGCAAGGTCCTGAGTTTGACCCTCGGTATGGGGAGTTGGGGGGGAGATTTAGTAATTATGAGTTCTATTGCTATAATCATGGGTGTGGATATATCACTGTAATATGATGTCTTTAACTCTTTGGCAAGATAACCTAGAAGTGGAATAGTAGGTTTGAATGTAGTTTCTATTTTTAGTTTTTTTGAGGAATCTCCATAGTGGTTGTGCTAGTTTATATTCCCACCAACAATGTTAAAGGGTTCCTTTCTCCAGACTCACCAGCATTTGTTATTATTTAATTTTTTTGTGTGTGTGTGAGTCAGGGTCTTGAGTCCAGGCTGGCCTTGAACTCACAGGCTGGCCTGCCTGGTTATTATTTGATTTCTTGATGATACCCATTCTTTTCAGGGTAATATGGAATCTCAGTGTTGTTTCAATTTGTATTGCTCGACTGGCCGAGATGTTGAACATTTTTTCATGTATTTATTGGCCATTCATACTTCTTTTTCTGAGTAGTGTCTATTCATTTACATCCCATTTTTTATTGGGTCTTTTATGCGGGGGGCTAATTTTTTGAATTCTTAATATAGTCTAGACATTCATTAGTCTTCTGTCAGAGAAAAGCTGATAAAAAAAATTTTTTTTTTTTGGTACTGGGGATCGAACTCCTGTCCTTGAGCTTGCGAGCGAGGCGTTGGTACCACTGAGCTAAATCCCCGGCCCAGTAAAAAAAAATATTTTTTGCATTCTGTAGATTATCCTTCACAGGAGCTCATATTCTTGTTTTTTTGGGTTTTTTTGGTACAGGGCAGGAACTTGGTACCTTACGCTTTTGAGGCAGGCGGTAGAACCACTGAGCTAGATCCCCAGCCAGGAGCTCATATTCTTAGCAAGATGTAGAACATGGCTTAAAGATGTATAGCAGCTCAGTGGTAGAGCACTTTTCTTGGATATGCAAGTCCCTGGATTCAATTCTCAGTTCCACTCCCCCCAAAAAAGAGAGAAAGAGGGAAAGAGAGAGAGAACATTACCCATCATCCAGCAAGTTCCTTCAGGCCTCTTTTAAGACAGTTCCTGCCTTCATATTACCCCCATGTGGACAACCATTCTTCTAATTTTTTTTAATGACTGGATTAGTTTTGCTTAAACTTCATGTAAATAAAATCTACAATATGTATATACTCTTCTTTTGATTGTTGTTGTTTTATATTTGTTTTTTTGAGACAGAGTCTTGCTATGATAGTTTAGATTGGCCTTGCGCTAACAGTGTGGCCCAGGCTGGCCTCAAACTCATGATGATCTTCCTGCCTCAGCCACTTGAATAGTGGGATTACAGACCCAGCTGTGTATACTCTTGTACAAGAGTTTTTTCACATTTGTGAAATGCATCCATGTTCCTGCATGTATCATTAGACTGTATCTATTTATGGCAAAATGTTCCATTGATTTGGTAACGAATGTACCCGGTTTTTGTTGTTTTTTTTTTGGCTACCAGGGATCCAACTCAGGACCTTGCACTGGCAAAGCAGGTGGCAGCACCACTGATCTAAATCCCTAGCCCTATACCTGTTTGTTTTTCCCCCCTTGTTGAAGTTGTTCGACTCTGCGGTTTACGCTTTTCTGAATAAGGGTAATACAAACATTCCTGTACAAGTTTTCTGTTGGACATATGCTTTGATTTATCTTGGATAAAAACACAGAGCAATTACTGGGTCATAAAATATATTTAATTTTATAAGCAATTGCCATTCTTCTCAAAGTAGTTTTTCTATTTTTCTTTCCTGCATACAGTGTACAGGAATATTATATTTTCAAGGAATTTGTTCATTTCTTCTCTGTTGTCAAATTCACATAAAGTTGACGATATTGGTAATGTTTCCTTATAATGTCTGTAGCAGGTGTGTCTGATCTGTAGCTCATGCTGCATGTGGCCCTGTATAGTTAGTCATGCAACCCCACAAAATTGTAAACTTAACATTATTATAATTTTGGGTGATATTTTTCATGACTCATTGGGAGATGCTCAAGCACAGACTGTGTAGGCGACAAAGGAATGTCTTGTGCACAGCAGGAGGTGGAATGCAGTGTTGACTTCGCCCCCACACTCCACATGCAGTCAAATCAAAACCCACATATATCAGATATTACATGCATTTGTGTGACTTTGCAAGTAGCACACACCAATTACCAGTAATAGTATTTTAGCCTACCTCCACTGTGTCTGAAGACGTGTTTATTTTCATTAAACAGTCATGTAAGTTCCCTTAATTATTAAATTAGAGCTAGCTGTGTTATTTCATAAAATTTAATTGCTCAAAAATAAAGGAAGTTTGGCGGTGCCTGCCTCCCAAGCGCAAGGTCCTGAGTTC